TTCGAGGGAAGCTCTTCTTGAGGTAGGAGTTGAATACGTCTCTGACCACGGCCTCTGCCAGAGTCCCTGTAGACCCTCACTACTCACCTGGGCCTACTGAACTTGTCAGGGTTCCTCCGGTGCTGATCGGAGGACAGCTCTGCCTCTCTCTTCACCCACACAGAGATGGACATCCTTAGGCTTGAACAGTGTTCATTGGGAACAATCCATGACTTCCACCATAGTCCAATAATAATTAACAACTGCGGTTTAAAGCAGGGGATCCATTCGAGGTGTCACTGTTGCTTCCCACATGGGTGTTAAAATCTGCCGGCGGAACTAATAAACCCCAGGAACACTATGAGGGCCTGGTATATAGTACCTCTGCTGTGCTGCTCCCCAAGGGGATGGCTTAAATGCGGCGAATGAATTTCCCCATTGTGGGACGATAAGGGAATTACATTTAAATAGGGATACCTGATGATCTCAGATCACTAAAGCTTTTTGTTACAGTTTTTAAAGTCCTTTTTTGGCTCATTTTAAGGTGTCTGTTGGTCAGGACAAGGTGGATGACCTAAGTTCTTGCATTCCTAAGGGCTGGTCATGCTCCTGCAACAGTGTGTTGCAGTAAGTTTGCCACAGGTATGATGCAGACATTTTTGATTTATGCTCAATATTGAAGCAAGGTCTGCGCTATATTTATTCCACGCCACAACGCAAAAGGGGAAAATCACAAACTAGCTGTGGGTCTACAGTATATACGGCTAAGACGGTAAGAGGAAGTGGGGGCAAGTTTGTCCGACAGCGGTGGGACATGAGGGCGAAAAAGAGCGGGGATCCAGGTGGAAAAAGGGTTCCAGCGTTCTCACGCACCTCGCTCTTCTAGCTGGTCCATCTTCACAAATCGTTTTCCACAATGAAGGGTCATACAAAAAAAACAAGCTGGTAAGGTACCAAACATGAGATATGCATAGTGTATGTAGAGCGGATGTAGATCTGACCAAGCAGAGGCCTCGTGTCTGCGGCACTGTCTGCGGTCACCTACAATTTGGGAGAGGTGCAGCAGAGTGTCTGCAGAGGGGGCGGGAACGTCTCTGCATTCACCGTGACACCTATGCAGACGACCAACTTTCAAATAAATCAGCCTTTAGCCTCCTTTTCTCATTTCCAACAACATTTATTGTATTTGACTGGTTGTCTGAAGTAGACCTGGTGTCATGTTGGGTTCAAGGCGTCTAACCCACATGCAGAAAACACTCTTTTAGACAGGGGAAAAGTTAAAAGGTTTATTTACAAAGTTACAAAAATATGCACAGGATCTGGGTTCTTCTGACTGGTCACGGGAGGCACACCACTGAGGAGGACAGAGCAGTTGGAATTGATCCAGGAACTTGCAGTTTACAGGTGTCAGGGTAAAATACCTGCTCAGAGATGGATCTGATCATTAGGGGGGAACCTTGAGGGTCCAGAGGCTAGTCGGCAGGCAGAGGGCTGAGGGCAGAAGCAGAGACTGAACGGAGTGCAGGCAGGCAGATTTCAGACTGAGATCTTATCTCCAGGATTACTGGTTTTCAGAAAGTCAGGATCTGTGAGGCAGAGAAAAACAGGATCAGACAGGTTCACAAATCAGGGTTACAGATCAGGCTGATTGGCTCAGGTATTGCTCTACCATTACTGGCAAACACTCTGGCAGGGAAGTGTCAGCCTCCTCCTCCTTAAACAGGGCTTCCTTGATGAGCAGATGGAAAACAGGTGTCGCAGTCAGCTCATCAATACAATTCAATTCAGTTTATTTATATAGCGCCAAATTCACAACACATGTCATCTCAAGGCACTTTACAGTTGCCTGAGCTCATGCCCTCAGAAAGGATCTGGTGCGCCCTCTGGTGGAGAAGGTGGACAAAGCCTCCAGATCCCAACACCTGGACCACTCAGTACTTTGTTGGAAGTAAATTATAACATAAACATAAAGTTTAATCAAAACCTGATACAACCACAGAGATTATTTTGAGAAAACATATTGTTAAGAGTTACACCAACCAACCTTCCTGTGTAAAACGGCCTAGAAATCTTAACAAGACGTTAACACCCATCAATCAGTATACCCATCCACCCATCCATCCATCCATCCCTCCACCCATCCACCCATCCATCCATCCATCCCTCCATCCATCCATCCATCCATCCATCCATCCATCCATCCATCCATCCATCCATCCATCCATCAATCAGTATACCCATCCATCCATCCATCCATCCATC